GTGCTCTCACAACAGTGGCTAGATTAGAATAACTAACTGTCATATCAAGTAAATTTAAATGGAGCTTCTCATATTTTTTTGAGCTCCTGAAAAGGTAAATAGCTTGTCAGAGTGTTTGTTTAGCAAGCACTTTTCTTCAGCCCTGCTAGTATTATCTCACACTTAGAATCAGAGGTACATAAAATCGTGATTCTACTATAAATAAAAATATCACTAAAATATTTATATGATATTCTATTATGCCAGATAATTTAGATATTGTATTTACTTTAAAAAATGCAAGTGTCTTGTTTTTATTTTTTAAACTTGAGAAAGGAACCTCTAAGTTTAATCAAGCAGGTATCAACATCTACCCTAAAATTCACTTCCCAGCTTGGATGTTTCCTAGGAGAGAGGTTAGAAATAAAAGAGTATGGTATACATGTCTGCCTGGGAGCACGTTGGGTGCAGACTTGGTCAAACCTAAGTGGGATCTATGAGGAAAGAGGCTGTGCAGGGTGGCTGACCTTATGCTGCCACATTCTAGAAGGCATGTGCAGGAGACTGAGGCTGCTCCAGCCATCTGTGTTCTGCCTGAGCTCATTGGGAGGCCCCTCTTAGCACAGGATGTTAGAGCCAGTAGGACCTCAGAGATATGCCAAAACCCAGCCCTCAGCTCACCGCACATCTCTGCACCGGTGTCCTCTCCATGCTTCCCCATGCCCAGCAGGGGTAGGGGAGGTAGCAAAGTATCAGGCAGGCAGACACCTTCCTTCCTGCTCACACCGCTGTCTTGTCAGAGCGCACTGCTGCCAGCTGGATTTCGACAGAGAGACCAGACCCAGAAAGCAGCCACCGGCCCGTTTGACCGTGAGCACCTCCTCATGTACCTGGAGAAGGAGGCTCTGGAACAGAAAGACAGGGAGGACTTTGTGCCCTTCACCGGGGAAAAGAAAGGTAAGGACCCCAGGCAGCACATCTGGGGACGTGGGTTCTCCTAATGTGTCGTCGTGGAGGGTCAAGCAAGGGAACTTGCCTGAAGGTGGGAAATAAGCCCACGAACTGGGTTCAGTATTAGAATCATGGCGGTGGATACATGTTGGTAGACACTTGTCCAGACGCATAGACTGTACACCCCCACGAGTGAGCCCTCGTGTGAACTACAGGTTTGGGTGATAGCGGTGTCAGTGTAGGTTCATCCTTTGTAGCAAATGTCCCACTGTGCAGTGGGCTGTCGGTAGAGGAGAGGTTGTGAGCGTAGGGACGAGGGTACCTGAGAAATCTCTGTACTTTCCTCTACTAACCTAGAATAAAACTTGTTAATTAAAATAAGTAAAATATAATAATTAAAACTTAATAAAAATAAAACTTACTAATTAAAAAAAAAGAGCCATGGCAGAGTATGTAGGCTACAGATATAAAGAACAAAGTAGTGGTTACCACTGGGGAGAGGGAAGGGAGGAGGGGCAAGATAAGGGTAGGGGATCAAGAGGTACAAACTGCTATGTATAAAATAAATAAGCTACAAGGATATAGTGAAATTTGATACTATTTTGTAATAACTTTAAATGGTATATAATCTATAAAAATATTGGATCACTACATTGTACACTGAAACTAATATGATATTGCAAATCAACTATACTTCAATAAAATAAAACAACATAGAATATTGTGCAGAGAAATTAAAGATCTGAACAGCAACAATAAAAAAAGTTACCAGTCTGAAGGAAAGAAAATTGTCTTCAGAAAGTTTATGAATCCGGCTTCTAAAACCCATGCGGGGAACCATAGTTTACTAAAAACAATCTGCTTGAGGAAGGGGGGATAAAAGGAATATGTAGGCTAATGAAATGAATACTTGGTGTGATGGTACTCAAATCAGTTTTGTGAAAAACAAAAACAAAAACAAAAACATAAACCCCGAAGAAGCAGTTTTGGAAGCGTGCAGTAGTGTAGGGCCTGGAAGAGGGCCTTGGCGTGTTCCTCCCAGCCGGGGCTTTTCCGGCTGCAGAAGTCTACTCTGTGTCTGGGCGTTGTCTCTGTTCCCTTAGATGCTACCGTCAGAGGCCAGTGCAGTCAGTCATCCATTCACCCAGCATGTCCCAGGCACCTCCTGGGTATAAAGCCGTGTGCTACGTGCTGGGACCACAGGGAACAAGACCCCATCCTGCCCTCAAGGAGCCTGTGATCTAGTGATAGAAACACTATGATAGACCTGGCAAGGCCTGAGAGCAGGGGGCTATTTCTCCACACAGGGATCGATCTCAGAACTAGGACAAGGAAAATCCTCCTCCCAGCTCCTGACCCTGAGCTCCCCTTTGGGGGAAAAGTGAGTGCCAATCGCCAGATCAGGTTCCTCAGCCATGAACAGTGACGTGGGCCCAAAGATACAGATGTGATGGCTGATGACCTCATGGCAACTGTGGTCTTTTTAAACCACAAATCAGATCACGTCACTTCCCTAATTAAAGTCTCAGACCATTACCATGGTCCTCGGAGTCCTGGGAGAGCTCGCCCCACCCACTTACCTGACTGTGACTCTCCTTCCCTCCCTGAGCCTTGGCCTCACTGTCCTCATTCAGTTCCCCAGACCTGCCAAGCTCTTTTCCCGTCTCATGGTCTTCTTCTCCTGAACTTTTCCCTCTGACCCACATCCCCATTTTTCACCCTCTAAAAACCCCAGCTTAAATGTCTGGCTTTCCCTGTCCAAAACATACCCCTTCTTTCTAGCATGACACTCATCTATTGCTTTCACAGCACTGTGACAGTGTTCATCCTTTTGTTTATTTACTTTGGGGCTTGTATGTTTTCCACATGAGATTGAGATCCGCAATGGGGCCATGTCTCTCTCACATCTTGGCACAGAAACTGATACAGGGGAGGTGCCCAATATGTGTGGATTCGAATCAGTGCTTCTCTGAGCTTCTGTACCACGGCCACAGCGGGCAGGAGCACCGGCGCCACAGCTGCCTTCTCTCGTGCGGCCCCCTGCTCTCCGGGCACCTCCAATGGATCATGCACCATGGATAGTGTCATTTTATTAAGTCAAGTTGAGCAGTGACAAACTGGGCAAATTACTGAGGATTACAGTAGAAATAAGGGGCTGTTTCAATGGTGGCACAGTTATTGTTAGACATTTAATTGTGAAAGAAAAAATATTTCAATGTCAGATCTTCAGTAAAAATCCCAATTAACATCCAGTATTTGGGTAGCGAAAGCAGAATAAGAGGAAAGCTCGGGGGAGAGGATAGCTCAGTGGTAGAGCACGTGCTAAGCATGCATGAGGTCCTCGGTTCAATCCCCAGCACCTCCATTAAATAAAGAAAAAAACAAAGAAACCTAGTTACCTCCCCTCCGCACCAAAAAAGAGGAAAGCTGCTGTCTTCTGTTCTCAGAGCAGAGGTCTGAGGAGCAGCTATGGTAAATTATCTCCTGACCCAAGTTGGTCTGCAGATGGTTCGCGAGAGGTTGGGAATACAGGAGCAGCTGGAGTAATAAATGGGGGTACAGAAGATGAACACAGCTGCACAGTGGAGCTTAGGAGAAGGCTGAGAGGCAACACAATTGAACCGAAGGAGCAGAGAGCAAGTTTCTCAGAAAGAGCAGAGGATCAGAGTGAGGCGTCCGCCGGGCCCCTGGAAGAACGGCGCTGAGCCAGGAGCAGCTGGGGGCTGTCAGGAGGGCCTCGGGCGAGGGGCCGCCCAGCCTCAGTTCTGAACGGCGTGTGCCCTAGGCCCTCAGGTTCCTGGGCCGCATGAGTCATTTAGAACTTGTTCAGTTGGACCCCAGGAATGGATGTGCAGTAGCAGTTATCCCGAACACTGATAACTGGGCCACCTGTATACCTGGTGTTCAGAGTAATCCTAAATGGTACCTGGGATTAGGTACTCAGAGAGCCCATTTTGACTTTGGATCCAAGATCGTCGAGCCAGAAAGAAAATGCTTCAGGCTGCAGACATGATGCAGAATCAAGTCTGAGAGGAGCCTCAGTGACTGAGATATTATTGATTTATTGATGCTTTTTCCTTTGCTGTCCTCTGGCCACTCTCCTGTTTTGTTTCCCAGTGTATTTCCGTTCTTTCTGGGAAATGTGGCAGCTTATGTCATGGTCAGTCCAGAGGTTCAGGCTGGGGCCGGGAGTAGGGGAGCAGGTGCTGTAGACATCGGCATATTCAGAAGTGAGTCGGGGGCAAAATAAATGGACTGACAGGATGACATGGGAGATGGTGGCAGAGAATGCATGTGTGGGGAGCACAGGGCCTTGCTGCTCAGACCTCCACATCTCCAAATATGACAACCCTGGTTTTTCCTTTTAAGTCAGGCTGGCTCTGGTGTGCTCTGGAGAGGTAGCTGTGTCCCCAGGTCACTACACTCATCAAGTGACCTAGATAGAGCATCCTGGTTGCCTATAGTCTCAATTGATAGGAAGAAATCTCTGCGGGGATCACCAGCTTGTCCCTCAGGAACCCTCCAGGGCTGTTGGATGCATCTGCCCTCCCTATGCAGGGTCCAAAGCAGGGACACAAACAGAAGTCCATGTGTCATTTTTATAAATAGTTAAAAGCTATAACAGACTGTTAGAATATGTGCTTTCCTCCTACAAATATACCTGGGCCAGTATTCTTGGACTTCCAAGAGTTCCACATAGGGATGTGGGTCCATCCTACACTGCCAAGGCCTCAGGCACCATGATTGACACCCCAGCCCACATATCCAAGCTTCGTCCACACTCACCCATGGACAGCCTCCCCTTGGCCTGGGGGTGCACACCCTAGCAGTGTGACTTGCTTTCAGGAGGATGGACGTGGGGAAGCGACTCACACGGGCCCTGGAAGCAGGTTCAAGGCTCTTTGGCAGGGAATTTCAGGGGCCCAAGTGCTTGGAGTATATCCAGCAGGTGGCCTGTATTCTGGATGGGAATGTCCCTTTGTCCCCGTGACTCCTCCCTCTGTGGGGCAGAGGCAGTGGGGAATAGGGTGCAGCCAGAAGGGACTGGAGTTGAGCTCTTTAGAGTACAGGGCTCCTCTCACCCAAGTCTAAGGGCAGAGCTGCCCATGATGGGGAAGCAGAAGCCACTGTTCCCCTCTCTGCCTCCTCAGATCTCCATGTGGCAGAATCCAGGATTCCTCCTCCGACCTTTCTTCCCTCTACCAGTGGAATATTGATATTGGCATCATCCCAGAAATTAAGGAATCCCAGCTAGACGTGCAGTGGTTTAATGATTCAGCTCTTAATGGCCAGAGCCACTCATTCTCTGGTCAGTCCACTCACCCTACAACAAGGCAGCAGCACACAATGGTTTTTGTTTTTCTTCTGATTTAAAGGGAGAGTCTTTATCCCCAAAGAAAAGCCCATAGAAACTCATAAAGAAGAAAAAGTGACCCTTGACCCAGAACTGGAAGAAGCTTTGGCTGGCGCCTCTGACACTGAACTCTACGATCTTGCAGGTTAGTCCTCAGCTCTGGGAAACTTTCCTGTCTGGCGCTGTGACCTCTAGGCATGTGCTGACATCCCTGGAAGCAGCCTCAAGCTCCTGTGTAACTATCGATTATTATTAACACTCTGAGCCTCAGTTTCCCCGTCTGTGAAATTGGGATAATAATTATACTTTGCCTGTTACAAAGATTAAATGACTTCCTATGTGTTAGGCACTGTACTAAGTGTTTTACAAATTCTTTTCAAATAAATGAGAGTCTGTCATTGTGTTTCTGGCATTGCCTAGGAAGACGATGAGAGACCATCCAACAAACATATCTTGCTCTGGCCCCATGCTCACTAAGCAGCTTCTGATTATAATTTGGCTCCCAGTACCAAGTTCAGTTTGTGTTATCATAACACCAGGTTGACTTCAGCTGTCAGGGAGCTATAAGACTGGATACAGGTGACTTAACCTCTCTGAGCAAACATTCTGCTGTGTCTCAGCTGTAAAATGTAAAACCATATTTCAACTATAAAGTACTCCCCAAAATACCCATCCTACAGAATTCAGGGGTTACTATGAGAAATTAAAGAGAATAAACATAAAGGAGGGTTGGAAAGTTAAATAGTGAAATAATAGCCCTTGTGCTTTCTAAGGAACTGTCACATTTGGCATTTTATTATCCCAAAATTTCCATTTCCATCACAAAATTTCTTGCAGTTCCCCAGTCACTGTTCCATTTTGATTCCCACTGGCAGGTCTGTTAGCCTAACTGTAGAGCAGGAGTAATTTACTGTTACATTTCCCCAGTAACATAAATCTATATTCAGCCCAGTCTGCTCATTTTTTCTCATTTTCTTAACAATAGCAGTAATACAATAATTATTGTTATTATTATATGAATTGCTTATACATGCATATAGAAAAAACCCAAATAGTACAAAAGAATATGCAATGAAAAGTAAGTGTCAACAACAAGATCCTACTGTATAGCACAGGGAACTATATTCAATATGTTATAATAACCTATAATGGAAACAAATCTGAAAAAGAGTGTATATATGTATATATATATGTATGTATGTATAACTGAAGCACTTTGCTGTACACCTGAAACTAACACAACATTGTAAATAACTATACTTCAATAAAAAATGCTTTTAAAAAAGTTATTTTCTCACCCTATTACCTAAGTCCCCTCCCATTACTTATATTTCCTTCAAAAAAGATTCATGCATATACCAGCATGTTTGTGTACTAACTGAATGGAAATTTGGAATATTAGGATCATTAGGTCCCCTCAGGATAGAGGTGCTTTGAAAGACAGTCCACTGCTTTGGCAAGAATTCTCACATTTCTATTCCATTGGAAGACATAATAACCAATGATAATCAACATAATAATAATCAGTCTCCTTCCTGCCAGGAGAACCATCTATGTCTTATTCTAATAGCGTGCCAATCATCTCAGCTACATTTTCATTGCTTCTGTGATGATATCAGTGGTCGATAATTAAATTCACATGTTTGAACCCCTCTCCGAAGTCACTGCGGGAGCTGAGGCACCTACATCACACAGTTGTAAAGGTGCTTTGCCGTAACCATTCTTAGCCCTGTGGTTGCTGTGGAGGGATCCTGTTTTGGTTACTGCTCTTCCCAAGGGTCGCCTCATGTTCTCTCCTGGAATTGCCCAAAGGGAGAATGCAGGCTGGGCTTAAATTCTCAGGAAATGCCTAAGAAAGGAGAGCGAGAAAAATACCAATCATTTGGAAGACACTAGATCCTGAATTTCATACGGTAAAACGGGGTGGGGGGGAGCAGTCCCAACAGAAAACTGTCTCGTTCATCTTTGCTCAGCCTCCCTCCCTCGGAACTCAGGAGGAAGCCCAGCGGGGAGTGGGTGGCAGCATCTCCTCTAGGGTGTATCTGGTAGGTCAAGAGCGGCCCCATGACTGGATGGGCTGACAGTCTTTGAGGTTTAGATTAGAAAGAGTACCAGGGCCCTTCCCATGTTACTGTGGCAGATCAGGAGCAGAAATACAGGCAGTTCATCAAGGAAGCAGAAATTGACCTCCAAGACAGCATCTCCCAGAATGGCCGGATTTCGGTCTGGTCATTACCCAGAGCCCAGTTCTCAGCTCCGCTGGCCTAGAGACTTGTTCTTGTCAGTGTACCTGGGAGCTGTCAGATTGGAGCAGGGCAATGGGGACTGATCCGCTAGCCAGATTCACAGGAAACAGATAAAACAAAAATTGAACTTGGCACTGGGAGCCGAATTATAATCAGAGTTGCTTAGTGAGTACAGGGCCAGAGAAAGATATGTTTGTTGGATGGTCTCAGTAGCCTGTGTTTATCACACAGAGCATCTTCTTCCAAGACAATGCCAGAAACACAGTGAGAGATTATTTATTTGGAAAGAATTTGTAAAGCACTTAGAACAGTGCCTAACATGTAGGAAGTCATTTAATCTTTGTAATAAGCAAAGTATATTTATTAACCCGATTTTACAGATGAGGAAGCTGAGGCTCAGAGGAATTTAGCAACTTCTCAAATCATACAGATAGTATGTGACATTCAGAATTTAAACTCTAGCTGATTGCCCCTGACTGCCACTCTTAACCACCAGACTTGCTGGCTCTGAACATTTGCCCTTTCTTGGCTGTGCTGGCTGCCTCCCTCCTTCTAAGATGTAGATTTCATCACATGAGGAGCTCAGAGGTGCACCTCTGCCACCTGTTGGCCGACTATTCTGGGATCCTTCCCAGGCAGCCACCTGTAATTTCTCACTTGGAATTGCATTAGCAAAGGGAAAGCTGGGTGGGCAGTTGCAGTTAGAGCACTGCCCCCACCCCCGCCCCGCCCGCCTGGCTCCCACTTCCCCATGCTGTTTCTTGCAGACTGTACTGCCCCCCAGTGCAAGTTCCCTGTCATACAGGAGACTCAAAATCTCAGCCTGCTTCTCTGAACTTTTATATGCTGATGTCTCTTATTTCCCACCCTGGGAAGCTTTAGATTGGGAAAGGACAACTCTTTTTGGTACTGAGAGATGGGAGAAATGAGGAGATTTACACTGAAAGAAGCCTATGATTTTTCAGCTCTTTGTCTCTAGGAAAACTGCATGCCATAGTCCATATAATGTTAGATCTTAAAATATCCTCAGATTCAGTCCTACCTTCACATTTTACAGACGAGAAAACTGAAGGGATGAATTTTCTTAACTAGGAGGTCTAAGTAGATTTTCAATTTGGAGACATAACTAGACCATTGTCCCTTAGAGCCTAAGTGATTCCACATGTGTAGATGTAGAAAGACATGTGAAGATTGCTAGTGGTCTTGGGATGAGAGGTTTTTTAATACTTATTTAATACTACGCATGTGTCATGCACTTTGCAAGGCAAGAGGGGTCTAGAGACTAATCTTTATGATACGAAGAATTGTTCTTCGAGGGGCAAATGAACAATGTGGACATCTTAACATACCTTCCCGAACTTAAAGTTTATTCACTGATTATCTTTGCTTTCAGCTGTTCTTGGGGTACACAATTTGCTCAACAATCCCAAATTTGATGAAGAAACGACCAGCACAAAAGGAGGCAAAGGGCCTGTGAGAAGTAAGTTGACGTGAAATCTGTGATTCTGTGAAACTTGGGAGCCTCCGGGTGGTGCTGGCGGGAGAGAGGCCTGTTGACTTGGGCCCCCTGGTGTGCCCAGAATTCTTTTAGGCTTTGAAGGTGGATTTTGTCAGCTCACCAAGGATCACTGGCTCTGAGCAATCAAACTGGAATAGATCAGCGAATAATGGGAGCTCTGTTTAGCGGTATAACTAGGACCAATCAATGTTTTGCTCAGAACATGCTCTCTTGGTAGGTCTGTTCAGTCAGGAGAGGAAATTACTGATAAAAAGTTGCTTTACGTTCCTCATGATGTTTTAATCAACTCCAGTATCTTTGATAAGTTTCCTTCTCTATTAGAGTGCCTTCTTGTCTCAATAATGGATGCTTGTCATTAGAATTTGTATACCCACTTTCCCCCAGAGAGCAGGAAAGACACACTGAGGTGAATTTACTGGCACAGAAAGTTCAAGAACACTATCTTCTAGGTCACTGTTTGCCGGAGAAATGTACAATTCATTAGACTCTCTCGCTTACTCATTCATCAGTCATTTACTAAATGCCTACTGTGTCAGGAATGTTCTAGGCTTAGGTACAATGGTCAAAGATGGTCCCAGCCCAAGGGAACTTAGTCTCTCTGTGGGAGGGAGGGATGGATCAATAATCAGGTCGTCACAGTACAGTGTGATCCAGGTGCTGTGAAAACTCAAAAAAGATCACAGCGTCTCTTAGGTTAGTTATATTTTATTCTCTTTCATAGTGACTTGGGCAATGCTTTCTATTCTCAGAAGTATATTTATCAACCACTGTTCACACTGGGTGATTTACCCAGATGATGTGCAATATTCCTTTTATTTTCCTGCTGGTTTCTTATGCATACCGATGAAAAATATTCATCCTTTTAACTTCAAAATCAAAGGGTAACGCTCTGCCAACATGTTTGTTACTAAAAGTCTGGTGCATAACCTTCTGGGCTTTTATACATACATACACACACACATATCGTTAACTCTTCTAAAGATTTCATTTTTTTAGAGCAGTTTTATATTCACAGCAAAATGGAGAGAAAGGTATAGAGAGTTCCCATATAGCCTCCCCCATTATCAGCATCCTGCACAGAGTGGGACATTTGTTACCATGGATGAACCTACCTTGATACATCATTATCACCCAAAGTCCGTGGTTCACATTACAGTTCACTCTTGGTTTTGTACATTCTCTGGGTTTGGGCAGATGTACAATGACATGTTTCTACCAATCCACTCTGCTCTGCCTGTTTGTCTCTCCTTTCCTGTGAACCTCTGGCAACACCTGATCTAAACTGTCTCCAAAGTTTTGCCTTTTCCAGAATGTCATACAGTTGGAATCATACAGTTTATAGCCTATTCAGACTGGCTTTTTTTACTTAATAATATGCATTTACAGTTCTCCGATGTCTTTTCATGGCTTGATAGATCATTCTTTTTTGAATTGAGATATAGTTGATGTACAATATTATATAAGTTATAGGTGTACAACATAGTGATTCACAATTTTTAAAGTTTTTACTTCATTTATAGTTATTATAAAATATTGGCTATATCCCCTGTGTTGTGCATTATATTTCTGTAGCTTATTTATGGTCCACAAAAGAGTTTATACTTCTTACTCTATCCTTGCCTTTCCCTCCCATCTTTCCTCTCCCCAATGGTAACCACTAGTTTGTTCTGTATATCTGTGAGTCTCTTTTCTTTTTATGAAGTCTTAAAAAAGTTAATGAAATGTGTGTATGTATAAAAGCCCAGAAGGTTATGCACCAGGCTTTTAATAACAAACATGCCAGAATGTTACCCTTTGATACTGAATTTAAAACTAATTTGTTTTATTTTTTTGATTCCACATATAAGTGATATCATACAGCATTTGTCTTTCTCTGTCTGACATTTCACTTAGCATAACACCCTCCAAGTCCATCCATGCTGTTGCGAATGGTAAAATTTCATCCTTTATTATGGCCGAGTAGTATTCCATTGTATGCATATATGTACCACATCTTCTTCATCCATTCATCTGTTGATGTAGACCTAGGTTGCTTCCATATCTTATCAGTTGTAAATAATGCTGCTCTGAACATTGGGGTGCATGTATCTCTTCAAATTAGTGCTTTTTTTTTCAGATATATTCCTAGGAGTGTAATTGTTGGGTCATATGGTAGTGATACATGATTTCTTTTTAATGCTGTATAATATTCTATTATCTGAATATACCACAGTTTATTTATCAATCCACCTACTGAAGGACATCTTGGTTGCTTCCAAATTTTGGAAATTATGAATAAAACTGCTGTAAATTTTCATGTTCTGGTTTTTGGGTGGACATAAGTATTTCATTTTTCATTAACTGTTTTTCATATCATGGTTCTCATCGCTCATCAGTACATGCAGGTTTACTTCATTCTCAATGAATAGATAGCATCATGTTATGTGATTATGCTGTAACTTATTTAACATTTTTGCGTTGATGGGCATTTTGTTTATCCTGTTTTGCTGTCACAAGTAATATGTCAGTGAACATCCTCAAATTTATATCCTCATGTATTCATGCTATTTTTTCTGTAGATTAGACTTCTAGATACAGAGTTACTGGATCATAAACTATCCACATTTTATATTTTAATAGATAATGCCAAATTATTCTTCCAAAAATGTCACACCAGTTTACATTCCCACCAACAATATGTGAGGATACTTTTTCCCCCACATTGTTGCTGACTCTGAATATTATCTCTTTTTACACTTTTTGGCTAATCAAATAATATCTCATCTTTTAATTTAAGAGTTTATAGTTACTTTTTTATATTTTTTGGTTGACTCACAGAGATTCCTCTGATTGTATTACTTGTTCTGTTCATTTTCAGTTGGGTTGTCTTGTTGACTTGTAGGAGCTCTGTGTGTTTTGGAATATTAACCCTTTGTATGTTACATATATTGCAAACATTTTCTGTTAACTGCTTTTAAGAATTCTTCCATTTTTCTCTTCTATTCCTTTCTCTTCCTGTACTATTCTCAAAATTAAAGCTCCAAAATGGAAATCAGAGGCCATGGTCAAGAGGCCGGGGGAGGATTAAGGTTTGGGAAATAAAGAGACTCATCGTTTCTTTTCTGCTTCTTAGATTCTTCGGTTTGGTTAGTATAGTCTGAAAGAGGTCCATGTGGAGCACCAGTAACCACTCATGAATATTCTTTTGAGGGTTGGAATTTGCTGTAGGGCCTCCTGCACTTTGGGCTCAATGGAAAGTCAGCCACTGAGACTTCTCATTGTGCTTAAAAAGCCCCAACTTTTGAGACTATAATTCAGAGCCCACATCTTTCCTATGCTTGCTTAGCTGAGACTAAGCTAATTGTCATTGATATTAGAATATTACTGGAATCAGAGCATATGAAAGAAAGGTCGTTTGGAGGGAAGTCATCTCTGATTTTTAATGGGAGAGCCCTTACATTTTCTTTTTAAAATTAAAACTTGAATCTTAGATGTGGTCAAAGGTGAAAAAGTCAAGCCAGTGTTTGAGGAACCTCCCAATCCCACAAATGTGGAAGTAAGTCTGCAGCAGATGAAAGCCAATGATCCCGGCCTGCAAGAGGTCAACCTCAACAACATAAAGGTATTTCACTGTACTTGTCAGTCGCTTGATTTCTTATGAGATCAGAAACTTGCTGGAGATGACTGAATGCCTGCTTTCACGCCTGTTTGCAATCCTTTGTAGCCACTGATTTTGAGGCAGGATATCCTATTCCAGAGAAGTGGGTTTAAAAAAAAAGAGTGATTTCTAGAATTCTTTTAAAAGAATCACAGTACTTGTGTTAAACATAGTGTATTAGTTATCTATTGCTGAGTAACAAATTACTCCAAAACTTAGAGGCTGATAATAGCAAACATTTATTATTTCACACAATCTCTGAGTGTCAGGAATCTGGGAGTGACTTGCTGGGTAGTTGTGGCTCAGGATTTCAAATGAGGCTGTAGTGAAGCTGTCAGTCAGGGCTGCAGTCATCTGAAGGCGTGACTAGGGCACAGTGACCCAGTTCCAAAATGGCTCACTCATGTGGCTGTTGGCAGGAGGCCTCAGTTTCCCACCACATGGACCTCTAATACAGCTGCCTGAGTATCCTCACATCATGACAGCTGGCTTCCCCCACAGCAAGTGATCCAAGAAAAAAAGAGCAAGCAGGAAACCACAATGCCTTTTATGACATGTTCTCCGAAATCACACATTGTCACTTCTGCTTTATTCTATTTGACAATAAGTGAAGTCCCTCTCCAAGG